TCCACCTTCAAAGTGGGGAGGGTTCAGTCTCCTTACCTCAGAAATGTTATGAGAGATGGAACGGTCAACAGGCTGATAGTCTTGGGTTGGGGGATGCTGGCAGTGGTTGTCTTGGTTTTGTCTTACAGCTGCTATTAGACCTTGGATTGCTCAGATGAGCTCGGTGAATTTAGCCCTGGTCGATGTGTCTTGGGCCTCTGGTCGATATGTCTTGGGCCTCGGGTCTTTCATTTCTTTTTACTGATGGTCTCCCTCAAGTCACTAGTCCTATAAAAAAAAAAGGAAGACAATGAGTTGGTTGACTAATTTCAGGAATAAAGAGATCTCCTAAGTTCTCTAGAATGGTTTTCTAAAAGGGATTATTCCACATAATTGCTCTGATATCATTTGTGACATTTCAAATACTAAAATATAACATAAGAGAGCCAGATAGAGAAACAGATTATGAGTGCATTAAAAATAATTATATGCAGCCGAATAAATATTATAAATCCTTTACAGAGTAAACTTTGAGTTCCAAATTTTTAATTATTGAGGCAAAAAATTTGGCAAAAATATAACATACAAGCCTCCACTAAAAAATAGACTCATCAAAATACAAAACAAAATATGCACTCATAACAGCTCAAGGATCCATGGGATCCTCAAATGCTTCAATGGACAAATCAACGAGCGAGTCCTCACTATCGTCCTCATTTGGGGGGAGGCATGGAAAGGGGTGAGTTTCATAAATTTAGTAAGAAAAATAGTATTTAAACAACATTACTAAGATTTTAAAGGTAGTTAAACTTTAAAGAAATATTCCGTTAGCCGTTTGTCGTCGAAGATCGTCAAATGGGGGTCCATTTCAATGATAAAGAAAATAATTATTTTAATTTATTTAGAAAATAATTAACATCAAAACATTCATATCAATCATGTAAAGAATAGAGAAAATCAAACGAATATAAATCATGCTATGACTTCTTATTTTGACTTTTACTTATTTTTCGTACGAAACCGTTTTGACCTATATCTACGGAGGACAATACAAATTTCTAACTGCCACTGTGGAATGACATATTTAATTTATTTCAGCACATTTACGACTTACCAAACCATAATACGTTCTAGGACCACGACCGTGCCAACCACAATGATCCTACATGTAAACTTTAGTTACGGTCGTACATCGCCACAATGACCCCTACAATCATATCGCGTATCCACTCTTGTCAGAGGATACACCGTCATCCACATGGAGTGGTCATCTCATATTTTTTCAGATCATATAGGAGAGAAACAAAATCTCTTAGAGATAATAGCCTAACAGATTTAACCATTTTAAATGTCATACAATAAACATTATGGTGTTTGACCTACATGTCCATTTTCATAATATATTAATGTGTCTTAATGCAAATACCACGATATCTCATTCAATAAATTAATGTACAACTCAAAATCTACTAAAGCATGCAATTTCTATTTCACATAAATCAAGCAATATTTCAAATTAATAATTTCTAGATGCTCCTTAGAATGTCCATGAAAACAAAATTTCCTTTATCGAAAGCTTGAAGAGTTTTCCTACATTTTTCTTATTTCTTTCTTTTTTTTATAGGCCCCTCTCTCTCTATAGAAATTCTTTGGAAAGTAAAATGAATAGGAAGTGTGAAGAAATGGTAGAGAGAAGACCCTTTTTTATAGAGAAAATGGACCATTAGATTTTTATCAAGTGGCGCAAATCCTTGAGGAGAGAAAAAAAAAGTTGATTGATGCGATGCCACCACTGATAGATATGATTGACGGATGGTTAATGAGACAATGGTGACACGATGACTTGGCACGAAGGCCGAGGGCACACTAACCTTGGGATGGCACACGCCTCTCAAATAGCGACGATGCATTGGATGAACGGCGGCGTATGTTCCTAAAGGGCGGTGCTCGCCACCCAGGGCCTGCCACGCGTAGACTTGCTACACACTTGCACGCTGGCCAAGATGCTTGTGCATGTAGGCATGCGCACATGTGTGTGATGTGGGCGCGTGCACAAACTGCACGCCTCAGGCTCTGTGTAGATTGGTTGGCCATGTACGTGCATGTGTACGTCATGTGGGGCCTGCGTGAGAGGGAAATTTTTTTCGCAATTTTCGCGAGAGTTTTTGGTCGTTTTCTCCATTTTTCCTGAAATTTTAAAGGTTAGTGATAAAAATTACATAAACAAATAAATAAAAATAATTTAAAATAAAATCCAAAATTATACGAAATTTGAAACATCAAATTAAATAGTTAATGACTTTATGGCCCAAATAAAAGAGTTTTATATGACGATAATTAAGCATAAAAGTGTCAGGGCGTTACACACCCAAACAAGTGTCCGTGTGTGCACAGCGTGCACACCTCATGCATGGCATGCACGGTGCCTATGCCTAGGGCTCTCTTGGCACGGTAAGGGTGCCTGACAGTGCCTTTCTCCCACGCGTAGCGTGCTGAACATATGCAGCATGCCAGGGGATTTGTCTCGCGTTGGCACACACGTACGACCGAGCTATATTGCCTATTGTTGGCACTTTGATGCCTGGGCTTCACAGATCAGGCATTTGGCCTTATACTGGCATTTGGCCTTATACCGGCATTTCTTTGCATTTTTCTTCAATTTTAACTCCTGTAATCATCCAAAAATAATCTCAAGACATTATACAACTTATGTAAACATCCAAAAAACAAAATCATTCATGAAAATATCAAATTAATCACAGAAAAATGCATGAACACACTCACACTGCTATCTTCATTAAAACAATAAACCACTTGTGATTTTCTTCAAAATTTGCCAATTAAATGCATTTATAAATGACAATAGTTGTGTAATTTAAACTATTGTCTCTATTACCTAATAAATGCATGAAGAATCACTTAACGAAGAACTTGTATGGAAATCGAAAAATACCCATTGTAACTCGCTTGATGTATAGTTATAGAGTTAGTGATGGTTTTTGGGAAAATTCACAGTTTTAGGATGGATTCTGCTGCAAGGATTCATTCCGAGGACTTTTAAGATATCAACTAATCTATAATCTAAAATTAGAAAGAAAATGGGAGCAAAAACAGGAATTGATGAAGAACATAAGCTTACCTTATCAAAAGCTTCATTCATGTGTTGCAGTAAAGAACTCTGGATTTAAGGCTTGCTACTACAAATTGGGAGTTGGATTTTGTTGAAGAAGGACTGTAAAACCTTAAGGGAACAAAAGGACAACTCAAAAGAAGAAAAAGAAACGAGCTTACCTCAACTAGGAAGAAGATGTTTCCTCGTCAATAACACACATCACGCACACCCTTTGTTTTGGTCTCTCTCTCTCTCTAGCTTCTTTTTCCATTATTTTTCTCACATTAAGCACTCAAAAATTCCTCTCTTGGAAGCTCTCAACTCTCTCCTTTCCTCTCTTAGCGAGAATGAAGAAGTTAGAATAAAAATAAGGCTTTTTAAGTGGGATTTTGGTGCAACTCAGGCTGTTGGATTGCATGCAATGCAATTAGGCCCTTGAAGAAGATGATGGTCTACAACATGAAGAAGAAGAAGTTGTGGCTTTAACAGTTGGAGAGGAGGTTTGCCAATAAACCGTCTAGCTTGGATTATACTCATGGAAGAAGTGGAGTGCTGTCACGTCGAATGCCCAAGGACTAGGCATATATGCGGGTTTCCTAGTCTGCAGGTTGGGCAAGCAAGGCTTGTCCTCCCGCAAGCACTAATCATCACAGCCCACGAGGGGTAATTCTCCCCACTCGTGGCCAAAGACCAAAGGTTGGTAAGTTAGAAAGTTTTTCTCCCCTTCCCGTGGTCGAAAAGGTTAAGGGAGTGCAATGCAGTCTATGGATTAAGGGATTTTCTCCCATATGCAAGCATAATCCCACCAAATTCCCTTTTCCTCTTGTTTTCCTAATTCTTGAAACTTAAAAATGCAGTTTGAAATCAAATTATATATAAATATTGAAAATACCAACATTCATACTAAAAATACCTCAATTTTTATTAATTTACAAAGATTACAAAAGTTCAGATGTTACATCTATTCATATCCTATTTTTAATTCCAATTACCTTAGTTTGAATTCAATTCGTTGAATGTCATTCAATTAGGGAGAGTTAATTAAAAATTAAGTTTTTGAATGCTTGTGTTCCTATGAGGTTTACGGGGGTCATAAAAATCCCACAAATCCCTCCATGTCACATCCCTAACTTGAATTCTTTGTTTCAATTAGGTTCAATTTCATAATTTAAATAAATTTTCAAAATTTTTTCAATTTGTTATAATTTCCTAACTTCCCTAGAATTTCAAAAATACCAATTAATGCATAAATAAATATTTAAGTAGGCATTTAAGTGAAAATTTTATTTAATATTGCCTCGGGATGTTACTTTATATAATTTACTTATATATATTAGTTTAATTTTGAAAATTAACTACTAATTTTCATATATTAACTATTAGACTACTAATATTCACGATAAGCTGCTTGATTACTATAACCAAACTTTACACATATATATCTATATATATATGTATTTTGAGTAGACAAGGAGTGGTATTAATAGAATATTTGCCGACACGAAGTAGATGAGGCTATTATTTCTGGCAAGAAAAAGAAAACAGAGAAATGAGGACTCATAATCTTCTCCAACACAAACGAGTTTATTTAAATGGTCGCCCATCACCACATGGTTGAGGTGGGGCTACCTATTTACTTCATCAAAATTTCTTCCTCTATTTAATTTAATAGCAATGATAGACGAAAATTTTTTCTCTGCACAAATTGACTGAAATAGTGACAATAATAACTTTGTCAAAGAAAAATAAAATAATGATAATCACATGAAAAATGATAAAAGCATAATATTTAAAAAATTTAAAATTGCAATTATTGAAGATTGACTTTCAGAAAAGTAGACAAGAGAATTATTTGTATAATAAACTATATATTAAATTACTGTCATATTTTTATTATTCTATTAATTTATTGATTAATTGATAAGTCCTATCTCACCCTTGAAGAGGACGAAAACAAGGCAGCACAAAGTGAGAGCAGAAATGGGAAAGAAGGCTCTGCTGATCGGAATTAATTACCCAGGAACCAAGGCGGAGCTGAGAGGATGCATAAACGATGTCAAGAAAATGTACAAATGCCTCGTAGATCGATTTGGATTCTCCGAAGATGACATCACCGTTCTCATCGACACAGATGACTCCTACGTCCAGCCTACGGGCAAGAATATCCGCAAGGCGCTCTCTCATCTTATAGCGTCGGCTGAGCCTGGCGATTTTCTCTTCGTCCATTACAGTGGCCATGGAACAAGGCTGCCTGCCGAGACTGGCGAGGATGATGACACTGGATACGACGAGTGCATCGTACCCAGTGATATGAATCTCATAACTGGTCTATTATCTATCCTCTTTAATTTTCAATCCAATTTTTTCTTTGTTTGTCTTATTGGATTTTGGATCTTGCCCCTGGATTTTGTGAATTCAGGAAATTAGGGCTGGATCTGTGATTTCATTTTTGTGTTTGTGGCAGATGATGACTTCAGGGAGTTCGTTGATAAAGTCCCTGAAGATTGTCTTATCACGATCGTATCTGATTCCTGCCACAGCGGAGGTCTTATCGATGAGGCAAAGGAACAGATAGGGGAAAGCACGAAGAATAATCAGGCTCAGGCCAGAGAAAGCTTTGGATTTAAAAGTTTCTTGCACCAGACCGTTAAGGATGCATTAGGATCGCGTGGGATTCACCTCCCACATCGCCATCGCCACAGGCACGAGGATGACGATGATAAGGAGGAGGTGGAGGCTAGGGAATTTGAACTTGAAGATGGTGAAATAGTGAATGTCAAGAGCAGATCGCTGCCACTCTCAACTCTCATTGACATTCTGAAGCAAAAAACGGGTAAAGATGACATTGACGTTGGGAAACTGAGACCTACCCTGTTTGATATCTTTGGGGAAGATGCAAGCCCCAAAGTAAAGAAATTTATGAAGTTTATCATGGATAAACTGAATCATAGGGATGAGGATGGGCATGGGGGATTCCTAGGCATGGTCGGGAATCTAGCCCAGGAGTTTCTCAAACAGAAACTGGATAATGACGACGAATATGCGAAACCTGCAATGGCAACGCAACTGTCGAGCAAAACTGATGCTTATGCTGGACCCAACAAGCGTTCACTTCCCGATAGTGGAATTTTGATCAGTGGCTGCCAGACTGACCAAACTTCTGCAGATGCTAGTCCCAAGGGGAATTCGGGGGAAGCTTATGGAGCTCTCAGTAATGCTATTCAGACAATAATATCTGAATCTGATGGTACAGTTACCAACCAGGAGATTGTTCTCAAGGCCAGGCAGATGCTCGAGAAACAAGGTTTTACTCAGCGGCCTGGCCTCTATTGCAGTGACCATCATGTAGGTGCATCCTTTGTGTGTTAGCCTTGTCTGCTTATGCCTAAATAAAATGTAAACCTGGTGTCTTTCTTTGTTTTTCTTTTTAATGTTTGCGATGCTAGACATTTTGAGTATTTGAACAAAAATTTTACTTCATCTATATTTCAGCTTCTAACTTAAATTAAAATTTCAAGGTTACAAATACAGAAGTTAGCGCAGAGCTTTACTCCCTAATAAACTATATATATATAATTTATATTGTCTTTGCTCTGCCTTGCTGTGCTTGTCAATATACAAAATTCTATGCCAAAATTGGGGGCAAAAGGGTTGGCCACACGAAAAATCAATATTGAATTAGACTGCACAGTTCCACATAATAACTCTTTCTTTGGGTATGAAGTTGAGCAAGTTTTCATCACTTAATCTTCGTCCTGTGCCTTCAAAATACAATCCACCCTTGTCTTATATTTACCCTTCATATTTCAATCATCAATGTCTTGAACCCATGCCAAATCTGCAACATGTTCAAACCATGTTACAACATTCATTTCCTTCCATAATAAAAGATCCAAAAATCCCTTTCCTACTTCTACATGAAACATCTAAATCAACAAATGGAACAATCTTTAAAATGTGTCAATTATTTTAGATCTTTTATCAACTATATAACTCGTGTGGAAGATACTTGCAAAGATCCTATACATAAAATAGGTAAGAGGAAGAGAGAATAAACATTAATGAACAAAATAAATTGAATTTAACAGAACATGTTTTCAACAAACCTGATTACAAAGAACTAGAAAATACACATGAAAATATGCAACGGGATTTGCATGCATGTTCATTTGAGAATTCACTTGCTAGTGTGTTCTTAAAGATTATTAAGAAATTAAATGAAATGTAGTCTGAGGTAAGAGTTGCAAGTTTATAACTATAGAACTTCAAAATCAAACGTCTTGGGGCCATGTTTTGTTCAATTTCTATCTTTTTATCACCCAATTACCAGCTGTTAGAGGTAAATTTCATGTAATTTTTAATCGAATGGTGAACATATAGAATATTTAAATTTTTAAGCACTATGCTGATAAACACATAGACCGTTGGTGCTGTATCAGATGTCGACACAGATTTAATGTCGATACGATGGTTGACATTATAAAGAGAGGAAGAGAAGAAAACCTTGCAGGACGGTCTCCACTGCTGCATTCGGGACAAGAAGCCCAACAATTCTTTGGTTATCTGTGGTAGTCTCTAGGCGCACAACACGTATTCTCTTGTGACTTTGACGAGCCTGTAAACATTCCTCAGATTTAATGCCCGTGGAGAGAAGGACATGCAAGCAAGTGCCCAAGCAAATGCAAACTACCAACAAATAAAAATGGGAAAAGAAACCAACTCAAAAACTGCAACTAAAAAATTGAAGGCAAGGAGGTTTGCTTGTCCTGTACACTTGAAACAAAACAGATAAAAGAACAATAAACCTCAAAGAGGGAGCCAAGAATATTGAAGTTGCCTTTATATTAGCACCTAGTTCTGATTCTTATATCAGTCTTAATATTTATAATTAGGACATAAGATACCACCACAGCAATTCAAATTTCTTGATATTGGGAATCCAATTCTTACATCTCAAGGGAAGCTAGCTTATCGGGATCAATGATCCAAGGTGGAGGCGGTAGTAACTCAGAAGCAACATATAATGTTACATATTTAAGCTAAAATGAGAATTTGAACTAGGAATTGACAAGGAATTGGATGTAAAATTAACCAAATGCAGCATAAAGGTTGTTTAACACAACCAAAGAGTTACGAACATTAGTAACATCAGCAGAAACTTTCTAGTAGTAATTAGTAATACATGCATTTTATCAAAATTTTCCAAAACCAGTCAGCAATATTTTTCACTCCTAGAGTATGCTCAAATATCACACTATGATCTTAATTACATAAACCTCAGATTCACCAAAATCCAAAATGTTAAATAGTAATGCACCTTGCACAAGTTCTCAGGCTGAAACAGTCACGCATGATTACCGACGTTACCTTACACTAGTTTAGCCAAAAATTTGTAAAAAAGAAAAAGAAGAAGAAAGAATAAGAATGGTTTTTAAAAGAAAGAAAAGGAAAAGTATTTTCCTTGTTTAAAGAACTAAAAAATTAAAAAGTAAAAGAAAAGAAAGATTGTTAGTTTTTCGTTTTGCTTAATTTTACTAAAAATGGATAAATAATATGAAAATAATCAACAATATCTTTTCTTGATAAAATAACTAAATAGGTATTAAAGAGAAGGGAGCGCTTTCTCTCTTCAACAATTGCTTCTTTTATCCAAAAAAAGAATAAAAGAGAAGTAAATTTCTTGGATTAAGCAATTGCACGGAAAATAATGACACAAGTCAACAATTTCACAAGACACAATTTTATAATAAGGTTTGAGGTCCTTTGATTTTTGAGTTTCAGCATCATTAGAGATTCTGTGTCCTGCAAGAGTTGTGACTTCTATGTTCTTGGGATCAAATGCTTTTAACATGGCATTGGATTTAAATGGCACAGGGTGGCTAAGAGGTATTTTAGTCTCCCATTTGTCAAATCAAGTATCAAGTATTTACCGGCGTTTGGAGAGCCAAATTGATATTTTCTGGCCAAAATCCTCCAAAATGCAGTAGATGGAATCTGCCTAGCTCAGAATTTGGGGAGAAGAAAAGTAAGTGGCATATTTTTCCTGAAGGCAAAACTGAAACAGGCTGGAAGAGCTCAAAAGGTGCACCATGGGTATGGTGAAAAGGAATGAGGAGGATGAGGGCAGCAACGAGAAGGCAGAGTTATCTAAG